TGGCAGGTAGATATGACTTCACTACAATGTCTGCACCTTGGGGACTGTGGGTTTTTTGTGCCTCTTTTGTCCTGTGCTATGTCTGGTCTGTGCCTTGTGCATGGAAGGTTCTCAACTGATGCACGTTGATGACTGAAGGATTGAATGCAACCCAGAAAGCAGGTACCTTGACTTTAAAAGACCTCCTTCTGGGTCCACAAGAGTCCTGTGTTTGGTGAGGTGGACATCTGCCTTCTCCTTGGCTTTCCCCATCTTGCTCTCTCATGGTTCCTGAAGGACTCTGATTCAGACATGGATTTCTCCAGCTTGAACCACTTTCTAGTCCAACACTGCTGACTCAGGATGTTCCCAGGATTTCAGCCTCACACCTTGCACTGACACTGATGCCCTGTACCTCTGGGTCTGAATTCCTGTTTTCAGTTTTATTGCCTGTATTAGTTTCCTATGGCTGATGCAACAAATCACCACAAATGTGGTGGCTTAATGTAACACAAATTTATTATCTGGAGGTCAGAAATCTGAAATGAGTATTAAAGGCTTAAAATCAAAGTGTCAGCCAAGGTGTCTGTGTTCCTTTCTGGAGTCTGCAGGGGACAATCCATTCTTCATCTTCTCCAGTTTGAGAGGTGGCCAGCATTCCTTGGCCTGTGGCCATATCTCTCCACTTTCTGCTTCCATCACCCCGTGGTCTGCTTCCAACACCACTGACTCTGGTCTTTCTGCATCCCTCTTACTAGGACCCTAATATTGGGCCCACCTGGATAACCCAGGACAATGTACACATCTCAGTGTCCTTAAATTTACCACATTTGCAAAGTCCCTTCTACTCTGTAAGACAACACATTCGCCGGTTTAGAGACAAGGATGTGGACATCTTTGGGAGGGAGGGGACGTGATTCTGCCTACTGCACAGCCCCACCCCACGGCTGGCACAGAGGATCTCCTGAGGTGTCTAAACAATATGGTGGGTGTGGCATGACCATGAAGAAGGCTCCTTTTCCACGTCCGTTCCCCATGGACTCTGGGCTATCCATAGTGCCCCCAAGGATGGAAGGGATCTTGCGTCAGTGCTATTGGGTGTGACTGGAAAGGTTCTTTCTGAGGTGCCCACTGGAAACCACAGTGCCATTTACTGGATGTTGTGGTTCTAGGATATTGCCCCACTAATCTGATCACAGGCCTTAGAGTCCTAAAGAGCTAAAAAAAAAATCTCTAAGGTTGAATACCTGTAGTGGCCTTCAGAGTCTTCATCTTCAGCCCCCGCTGCTTGGAATTATCTTTGAACAGAAGCCACTGTGGAGAGTGGGAGAGTATCTGTGGCCGGGAATGGCCGACTGAATGATGCAGTATAGGATTCCGAGCAGTGCAAGAAAATAAGGCACTTGCCAAAATAAGGCAAGAAAATAAGAGATGCGGGGAGGTCTCCATATCTCCTCCACCTTACTTTGCGGCAACTTACAGGTAGTCCTGCCACAACCCTCAACCCGAGCCCGGATAGGTTTGGTCCCCAGTCAGACCACAGGATGTGGTCCCCCGCTGATGCTCAGGCCCTAGGGCAGACCCATCCGTGCAGACCCGAGGCTGTCCTGGCTGGCATGGGCACGCTGGCGGGCAAATGCTGATACCGCTTCAAAGAACCGCCCTTCCAGGTGCTGAGGGCGGCTTTCCTGACGCTCACGCGGTGTCACTGTTTATTTTCACAAGGCACCCAGCTGTTGTGGTGATGATATTTATATCAATAAGTGCTCTATTCATCTGCCGATTTTAGGGGACGCTTGCCAGCAGCATATGGCAGCCAACCCCACGGCTCTTCTGAGTCTGATGTTTTTGCATCTGGGGAAATCAATTCTCAAAGGCTGTACCAACATCTGGGGCTGAGAAATCTCTGTTTATCCAAGACCCACCCTGGAAGGGGGAGCTAGAGCCAAGGACCTTGACCCTGGCTTATCTCCATGTCCCAAAGTGAGGTTCTTGGAGACTCCTCCTCCGTGCCTGAGCTCTGGTTTTGCAAAAAGGGATTCTGGAAGAGGTGAACGGCAAACAGGCTTTCACAGACTCTACTTCACTCAGGGGCTCGTGGAGCAGAGTTCACGGTTTTACTTTTTTAGGCAAAGTAATAGGACAGCTGTGCCTTCTGAGTCTGGAACTCCACAGGGGTCTTTGTTTTATGGGAATCCATTTAATTTCATGGTTATCTCGGATTCCAGTCATCTACCATTTGAGCCCCAAATCTTGGAGTCACCTTTTTTCTCTCACACTCCCTACTCAGTCTGTCAGGTTTTTGGTCGGGATATATGCGGAATCCACTCCATTGCCAACCCCAGGTTCAAGCAGCCATCACTTGTCACCTGGGATGACTGCAGAAGCCTCCTCCTCTCCATCCTCTCTGCTCCCTCCCTTAGCAAACACCCTCTCCCCCTTCCTGCACCAACAGTCTATTCTCAACGCAGTAGCCAGAGGGATGCTTTTTTTAAAAAAAAAAAAGTCAAAGTATGTCACTCCTCTCCTCAAAAACTTGTCAGTGGCTCCCTTCTCTCAGAGTAAAACCTCAAGTTCTTCCTATGACCCCCAAGACCCTCCATGACCTGGCCCTGCCATGTCTCTGGGTCACCTGCTGCTGTTGTTCCCACTTCCACTCTGTTCCTGTCACAGTGGCCTCTGTGCTGTTCCTGAAACGTGCCAGGCATGAACCCACCATAAAGTGTTGGTGTGGTTTGTCCTTTCTCCCTGTGATGCTCTTCCTGGAGACGGTCACACGGCTCGTTCTCTCCCTTCCTTCAAAAATACGCTTCTACGTGACCTCCTCAATAGGACCTGCCTTGATCCCTCTATCACAATTGTATTCCGGGCCCCAAACCCGCCTTCCAATCTTCCTTACCCTGCCCTTGTAGTTTTTTTCCATATACTCATCACCTTCTAACATATAATTAAGTACATTATAGGGTGTTCGTTATTCACTGTCTCCTCCACTTTAAAACAGAAGTTGCAGCAGAGATGGGAGTCTGCTGTTTTGCTTGCTCTTATTCACAACTCGTTCCAAACACCTAGAATAGCTCCTGGTAGGTAACAGATACTCCACAAATACGGCTGAAGAACAAGCGCATCTCTCCCGCACATCTCTCCCTCGAGCGTCCCACTGGGCACTCCAGCTCCCCCCGCCCCCCCCCCCCGCCTCCTCCCGCATCCTCCCAGACGCCTGACTGCCCAGACCTGGGCCCCTGCCACCATCCGCAACTTTTCCTTCTCATTCACCTCCTGCATCCAACTGCTCCCCCAAACCGTGGACTTGGATCTGGAAGCCCAGCTCCCACATCCCAGCCCCACCGTCCAGCCTGCCAGCCACCTCCTCAGTTCAGACCCCCACCTCTCTTTTCTGTGCATTTGCAACATCCTCCTCCGCTGTCTCCTGGCTGGCAGGTTTCCCTGCAGCTTCTTCTCCTCACTGGTCCCCAGACGCGGCTTTCTAATGGGATCTCAGCCACACCTTGGCTTACACGCTGCCATCTCTCTCCTCTTTGGACTGCAAGTGCTGTCTCACAGTGCTCCTAGGAAGCCTGGGGGTTCACAAAGCCACCCAGAGTCCTGACTCTCCAAGAGGCATTGGGTGGGGGCAGAAGACCAGTCTGGAGGGAGCTTAACACCCACCCCAGGTGGCTTCACCACGAGCAGCTCTTGATTAGACCTGTTCCCTATATGCCGCCTGCATGAGAGCTTTATTCGAAGAAAGGGTTCTGCTGCTTATAAAGTAAGCATCTGACACCTACCATGCTGCAGGTCAAGGCCCAAACTCTGTAGCCCACATGGGCAGCCCCGTGCAAGCAGCATTCTGCTGCATTTTCCACCCTCACCCCCTCCTCTGCTCCCGAGAGACCCCAGCTCCGGCCCCACTGCAACCCCAGCTCTTCTGCAAACAAGCCACACACATTCACACCACCTTGCCTTTGCCCTCCTGTTCCCTCTGCTCAGAGGGCCTTTTCCCAGCTCCCTTAGCCCCACACCCCCAAACCTCTGCTGCCTTCTTCAAGGCCAAAGTCACCTTCTTTTTGAAGTCTTCCCTCACCCTCTGGGCAGAATTAATTGCTCCCTGTTCGCGGCCAGCACAGCACTTCGCGGCTGACCTCTATCACAGCATTGCCACATGACGTTGGGACAATTTGCTCATCTGTCTCTGTAGCAAGACTGTGAGCTCCTGCAGCGCTGAGACCGCAGCTCAGATCCATTTTATTTTATTCCCACACAAGGCCAGCGCACACACAGGAGTGTACTGAGGTACCCTGAGTTTCTTTCAAGACACCACTTTTCAAACACTCGAAAGGACATTCCCACTTTTCCACCCAGGAATGGCTGTCCTGCCATGGGGGGCACGGGCGCCAGCAGCTTTCCCATGACACGTGTCCTGAGTACTGGGATGTGCTGCAGGCACATGATGCTTGGAGCTGTCAGACCCTGGGGGGCTGAGGCATGAAGCCTGACTGGACACAAGGGTCATCTGTGATGATGCCAGGATCCTCGGGGTGGCTGGTGGGCAAAGGGCCCACGGTTCAAGCTCCAGCTCAGTCGGTGCGGGCTGCATCTCCGAGGGGGTAGGCTGGGTGGGGGTGTGGCCAGGCCTCAGGCTCTTCTGCAGGGCTGGAGATGCTCAGAGCTGGGGAGGCTCTCTGAGCCCCTGGGCTCAGTGTGCTCAGTGGGATTTGGAGCAAGACCCTCATCAGTGCCTGGCGGATGAAGCAACAGAATCTGGCCCCAGACTGGGGAGGAGGGCTGGGCAAAGCCCACAAGCAGGGAGAGTCATTGCTGGAAGTGAGAGGGTGCGGGGTCGGGGGTGGCGGGTCTGGCAAGAGACCCCCCCAGCCTCTGCTGGCAGCCAGCCAGTGCCCATGCGCAGGCAGCTCGGTTAGGTGGAGGAAGCACTATGCTGACCCTCACGCTCCCCCTCCAACTCTCGGGCATGGCCGCCCGAATGCACCCGGGCACCTGGGTGGAGGCCAGGCCCCTCCTACCTGGGCAGTGTCCATCTCATTCAGCATCACCACGGAGGAGCAGTTGTAGTCGAACACCAGCCTCCAGAAGTCCGCCACGGTGTTGGGTAGAGGATGCTGCGTGACCACGAATGCAGCAGGCTGCTTGTGGCTCTGACAAAGGAATGACACAGGCTTCGTGAAGGACACACCCAGCAGTGATGTTCTGACGGGGAGGAGGCTTGCCTGGCCGCCAGGGGCCCCCGAGCCTGCTGAACAGATTGCACAAGACACCTACCTGTTCTGTCATCTGTGGGTGCCCCCAGTGGCTGAGGGGGCCTTCTCATAACGAACTCATTCTCCTCTAAACTAAGACATTTCATTAGCAAAGTGTCACTTGGCTGGGGATTATCCACATAAATTATTTATGTTGTGGAGCTCAGCAAATAATCATTATTAGAATATGAAATGAAAGATTCTGGATGCAGATTTGCTGCTCTGCTGCCCGAAGCACCTCCTGGGACATTGAGGATATCTGTGTTCCTGTGCCCACAGTGCTGGAGGAGGGGTTGGCTCAGGCCCAAGGCAGAGAGCCTCCTGAAGGGGCTTCTGTTGCAGGAGCCTCACTCGCGCTCCAAGGCCAGAACGAGGGCGGAGGTGGCCTGTCAGAAGGCGGACACGGTGTGCTGTGAGGCAATGGGCAGTGGAAGGTGCTCAGGTTTTAGTGTCAGGCAGCCCTGGGGTTCAAATCCAGCTCTCTGACTTGTAGGTTATCAGTCATCCACCCGCCTATCCATCCATCCATCCATCCATCCATCCATCCGAGCATCATTTGTAGAGTGCCCCCCCCCCTTTTTTGGTGCTAAGCCCTGGCAAGTTATTTGATCTTTCTAATCTGGAAAATGGGAATCGAAACTCCCATTCTGGGATGGTTGTCATGCACAGTGAATGCGATTTGTATTTGAAAAGACCAGGACACACGAACGGGCGGGGAGCCCACTGGCAGGACAGAAACATCCCTGACGTGGTTCTTCATCCTTGGCATTGGCGCCGTGGCTGACACACGAGACCCCCAGTACAGGTCAGGCAAGCAAACGAATATACTCAGTTCCATGTTACAGACAGGGAAACTGAGGCCCACAGAAAATAGCTTGTGAGAGTCTGGGCTACGTGGGAAGCTTTGGCGGGGCCCTATTTATTACAGTATCTTGTGAGAAGGTGTTTGGAAAGATTGGAGGGCTTCTCCTTTAGTGGCCCGTGAAACCGGAGATTGTCCACAGCCTATCTTCTCAACAAGCTTTCTTGAGAGACGGGCCCTGTGGCAGCAGGAAGATGGGGAGGAAAGAGGAGCTTGCCCATCCAAACCAGGGGAAGACCCAGGCAAAAGACCCTGCCAACCATACTACATAAATGATTTCTTGATGCCTTGTGACTGTGGATGTCATGCAGATACCAGGGTCCCGTCTTCCAAGGGCCTTCTCCTGGCCAGTGGGATGGTCAAAGGGCGGGGGTGGGGCTGGGGGGGCAGAATAGTTTCTCCAAAACCCAAACTCCAGCTGCAGGTAGCAGGTCTTTGAGCCCTTTCTAGACATGGAAAAGAATCTAGTTTTTAAGAGTCAAAAGACAGACTCCGGACCCTGGGCTTCACCCTTTCTGAGCTAGTCAACCTGGAGACAGTCATGCAAATACCCTGAGCCTCAGTATTTCATCCAGAAAGTGGGGACAGTAATACTCAAATACAGAATGAATCAGGATAAGTCTCAGGTCCCGACATGGTGCCCAACACTCAGTGAATGTTAGTGCTCTTTCCTTTCTCTCTGTCTCTGTGATAAATGCTCTATTAGACCAGTATGCCTGACTAAGCCTTATCTGAAAATATGTTCAAGATCCGCGCTCCTGCCGGGTTTCAGGGATCAGCCAGCAATCCATTTCATGGATAACATCATCCTTTACCAGGGGAAACATTAAAAATTAACCCAGAGGACTTCATATTTTTCTGCTAGGAGCAAAGCTGCTATGGTTACCAGATAATGCACAGACTGAACTGGAATACAGATAAGGACTTTTTTCTTTTTGTAAGAAAGGCAAAGGCCCGGTGATGGCTCACTGGAGAAATGCCCTGTGGACAAAGAGAACACAATCAGCACCAGAGCTTGGCAGAAGGCATTTGGCTCCAGGCAGCATCTAACCTACTAAGTCGAGGCCAGAAGCATGTTTGCTCCCTGCATAGATGAGGAAGCCAGGGAGAGGGAGCTGGGACAAGTGGGAGAAAAAGCAATGAGGAACTTGGAAGTGTGATTACACCCCCAGGCCCCATCTCTTGCCCCGCTCCCCCCCCCACACATGTGCACACACACACCTACATGCACACATACACGTACATGCACACATTGATCCTGGAGGGATCTAAGCTAAAGCCAGAGGTCTCCCCTCCACCTCTAGCTATTTGATCTGACCAGGACAAAGCTCCCTGCTTTGGGACCCATAGGAGGGAGTCCGTGGAGGACTCCCCCTGTGGACAGAGGCCAGGGCAGGCCCCGACAGAGCTGATAGGCATTGAGCTCCCATCACTTCTCTGCCTCCAACACCAAGGGCCCTTGGGGAGAGTTTCAGGAGGATCAGAGGTCAGAGAAGTAGTTGGCTTTGACCCCAAGAGAGGGCACTGCACATTCCTGCCTGTTCTGGGGGAGATGGGAAGTCCACGTGGGCTGGATGGACGTGACCTTGGACATGAGTGGGGAAGGGAATCTGGAAGGGCTTATTTCCAATCAGGCAATGGTATTCTTGGTCCTGAGCCTCGGGAGGCAAGATGTCTGTGTTTTCCTGGATTGCACAAACTGTGGGGAGGCCCACGGAATTAATCTAGAGTGAGTTCTGGGTTCTGGCTCTGCCACTAGCTTTCTGGGGGTGACCTTGAGCAAGTCTCTTCCTCTTTCTGGCCTCAGTTTCCTTTGCTGAAAAGTACAAGGATGAGACCAGATGATCCACGGCTCCTTCCTGCTGCAAACGTCTCTACATCCAGGAGGTGGAGGGATGACCACGGGAAGGAGCTGAAGGACCCAGTGGGGAAGCCTAGGAGTCAGGAGCAAGGACTCACTGGGGCAAGGACATGACCTCCTCATTGGGGTCATGACTCCTAAACCAGGTCAGGGTGGGAGTGCCCTTCTTGGACTTGATGCTGAGAAAGCACGAGACAGTGCCCCTGACGGAATAGTCAGGAACATGGCCTGTCCCCTTCTGTGCCCCCTTTGCCACATCCCATCACTTGTCCAGTAACCACTTACTGATCACCTACTACCTGCCAGTCTCATTCTTGCCTCTGCACAGGGGTTATCTGGGAACCTGCCTGGGAGCTCCCCGAGGGCAGAACCTACGTCTGTACCATCTTGCATTCCCAGAGCTCAGGCCAAGGCCTGGCATATAGAATGTTTCCTGAACTGAACGGAAGGCCGAAAGTCAGCTCTATAGGGAGCAGGAGGGGGGACTGGGCAGGCCTGTGCTGTACCGTCATGGACACACACTTTATGCCTTTGGTCCATTCTTTCCAAGCTTATGGGAGCAAAGAGCCAAGAACACAGCTTGTATATAGGTTTGGGCCAGAGCCTTCAGGGGGAGCAACGGTCCTTGGGGCCAGAAGATGAGAAGCAAGGAGAGGCTGTCTGGGGGTGGTGGTGTGGGGTGTCAGTGCCCTGGGCTCCAGCCATCTCCACCTCAAAGAGACTTCCCAGTGAGTGCCAGCCAGGTCTCAGCTTACGTCCATCAGAGCGGCATTGACGTAGTTGCTGGGTTCCCCATCCACCGAGATAAGGAAGGGCAGGCAGCGGTCTAGAGGCAGGACATCCATGCTCCGGTTCTTATCGTGATTCCGGGGCAGGAGCCCGATGCTGCAGTCCTCGGGCCGGACTCGGGGAGTCACGATGTTGAGGGTCTGTAGGGCGCAAAGACAGATAGGTAGGCACTGCTTAGGCGGTTGCCTCAAACACAGCAGACAGCGAGGTTCAAACTCAGCCTACCCCATCCTATCTCTGTCCTCCAAGCTTGGCCCTCCAGTCCCCGCCCCCCCACCCCCAGGACTTGTTCTTCTCCCTTGTGATATGCTGCCGTCTCCTGTTGGCTGCTCCATGCCCTGGGAGCTGAGAGCTCCTGCTGGGGCTGTGGGACACCCCCAAGATGCCAAGGCTGCAGGGCGGCACGCCCACGTGCAGAGCCAGAAACAGGTTGCCAACACCTGTCAACCTACTCATCTCTGTAAAGGGTGGGCCAGCCAGGAGGTCAGGGGTTGGGGGTGGGGAATCTCTAATGAGTGTTATGCATCCCTTGAAGTGTCATGGAAGGAGGGAAAGGATTTCCCCAATGCTCCTCTCAGAGAAAGTGGTTTTTGGAACGAGCTGCTCAGGATGGGTGAGAGATCCCCAGGGGGCAAGATCTAGGCATCTGGAAAATTTCAGGGCTATGTTCTGCAGAGTGAGTCTTGCAAGTGTGGGGCCAGAGCTGAACTGTCCAGCCAGGAGACCAGATGCTCTGTGCACCCAGGAGGGGGCTGTGGCCTCCATCTTTCCCCCATTCTGCACTTGGTCTCCCGTCCCAATCAATAAAGCTTCCGTTTGAGGGAGCATGGGGGATCTGGCCTGGCTGGGTATCTGCCCATGGAATCATGGGCCGAGCCCTTGCCCCTTAATTCCTGAAACTTCCTTGCTTCCGGCTGCCTGGTTCTCAGCTCCTGTTGCCCAGGGATGACCCTGGCACAGACCTCAGAACAACAGGCTGGATTCTTGGCTTACTCAGTGATATATGTCCAGGCCTCCAGACCAAAGCTGCCACCATTCTGGCCACATGGGCTGCAAGGTGCAGATCTGCCATGCCTGAGCTGAGCTGAGCTCTGGGATGGTGCTTCTCAAAGTTTAATGTGCAGACAAATCATCTGGAGATCTTGTTATACTGCACATTCTTGTTCAGTAGATATGGGTGGGACCCAGGATTCTACAGTCCTGATGAACTCCCAGGTGAAGCTTATGGTGCTGGACTCCAGACCCCACTTTGAGTAGTGAGGATCTAGGACCAATACACTCTAATTGTACAGAAATGGCAAGAAAACCTGAGTCCCTTTAGGGCCGGCGGAGCACGAGACTCACACCTATGTTTAGAAACTTGTCTCCACCCACAACTAGGACTAGACTAGAACTAAGTTAGTTTAAACACATGATCACAATTAAAAACATGTGTCAGCAGTCACCGAGTGACTGGTTAATAGTTGCTCGTGGCTATGTACCGAATGTTCTGGAACTCATTCTGCAGCTGCCCAACGCAGCTGACACTGGAAGCACTAGGCTTACCCACTCTCGTAAAGAAAACCCCTCGAATGTGCTCAGTGCCACTGAAGTTGGCTGGGTCACCAAGCCTGGGACTTGCCCATACCTGAAATTCGTCTTTGATCTGGCTGGAGTTGGTCTGGGGGTCCAGCCTGCTGATGTTGTAGTAGAGAGAGCGGAACTCGCACACGGGGATGGCTGTGTTGCCGCAGAGGCATGCTTCCAGGATGGCGTCGTGCACGAACACATACTGCTCCTGCCAACCCACAGAGAGGAGAGGAGAGATAGGGTTCTGGGTGAGAAGAAGAGCGGTCTGGGCATGTGTCGCCCAAACATAATCCTATGGCGGCGAAGGATGCGCAGGATTTAGATCGCAGAATCACAGCTTCCTCTCCAAAACCCTGAAGGGCCAAGTTTCCCTGTTTCTTCGTGATCGCCTGAGCAAGGGTGAGACTACACTGTAAGACTCAACAGTGTAGTCACTGATGACAGTTAGAAACTTCTGGAACTGCTGCAGCATGGGCTCTTGGTGCCTGCCTCTGTCAGCTTTCACCTCTACCTTGAAGGCTGCTTACTGCAAGCACCTGAGATTCAGGCTGAGGGATTTCTTCTAGTCCCAGGAGCATACTGGGGCTGGGTGCAGGGCGAGCCAGCAGGGCTGCAGAGTCAGCACGCCAGGAAGGAGCCCTCAAGCAGTGTCAGCCGGAGAGCTGGGGCAGAAATACCTAAGCTCCTTCTCTCCCAGGTAGGATATTTGGGAGGGCATGTTCCATACTACCTCAGAGCTCCCAGCACGCTTGGGCTCCAGGTGTCCACAGGGTGAAACAGCTTGCAAAACCCCTTAGCAGTGTCACACAGACTGGCTTTCTTTCCTTCTCTTTGCTTTCCAACCAGTGAGTCTTGGGATCACCTCACCAATAAACCACATGCCCTCAGCTCCTTGTCTCAGAGTCTGCTCCTGAACCCTGGGCCCCCCTGCCACCTGTGTCCTTTGCACCTGCTGTTCTCTTCCCCTGGAACCCCGTGCTCCCTTTGCTATGGCCCCCATTGCTTCATTCCCTCTGGAAAGTCTTCTGCAAATGCACCAGGTGGAAGCTGTTGCTATTGCTCCTAGGCCCTTAACAAACGTTTGTTGAGTGACTGTTCTCTTGCAGAGCTTGGCCCATCTCTACATCAAACACTTATCCAGATGCATCATGATGATCTATCTGAATGTCTGTCTCTGCACCAGACAGCAGGGACCCTGTGTCTAGCGCCAGCCAGTGAGCCTGTCTTCTGCAAGCACAAATCTGGGAACAGAGAAAGCAGCCACTCGTCTTTCCTGCAGCCTCACCAAGTCTAGACGTTTGCCTGCGGGAGTTGGCTCAGAGCCCACAGCGGGCTCCCTATGTTCATACGCTTGTAAGCGAGGGGATTCTCTGCGGAGCCGGCAGTGACTGGTCAGGCCCAAAGCCAAAACTTGCCTTTGCAGGACTGATGATGGATGTAGCTCCTTATCTGCCCTAGCTGACTGCCTGGGCACCCACAGGCTTGCCTAGAACCAGATGATGGGCTTGTTATAAGAACAAGCCATGGCTTTGAGGAGTAGGGTAGGCAGAAAAGGCTGCCTAACAAAAGAGTACGGTTCAGGGAAAAGTGCATGGGCCTTGGGGTCACATGGACCCAGGTTCCACCACTGTCCACCTCTGTGAGGACGTAGGGACCCTTTATCTGTAAAATGGGGATTTTAGTAGGAGCCACCCCACAGCCTTGTTGTGAGGAGTACAAATAATATCCTGAATATAAAGGACCTAGCGTGATGCCTGGCACATAGTAGGTGCTCAACAATAAAGATGAACTCCTCCCATCTCCCTCGGGTCTTGGGCTCTCTACCTAGATGGAGGGATGCGTGAAGGTCTGCTTTTCCCTCAAGGGCGGGGGCTATGTGTTACCTCTTTTGGAATCCCTAGAACCCAGCTCAAGTACTCAATAATTTTGTTGATGAAGTCATTCCGGCAGGGACTGAAGCAATGCTTGGCACACAGTCTTCTCCTTCCACCAAGGCAGGAATACTATTCAAAGAATCCTTGAAAGTTGCCATTCGGTCCCTGCTTGGATGCCCTCAGAGCCAGGGAACTCACCACCACTCCCCACTGGTGCAAGTGCTTGCCCTGTGGGACCTCAGGGCTGGCAGCAGTGTCCTAGCTTCTACTGTGGTCCCCACTGTAGCAAGCCATGTATTCCCTCCCTCCCTTTCTCCCACTCCAGGTCTCTCTCTACAGGATACCCCCACCCATGGGTGTCTGTTCTACCCTGCTTCTCCTTGGCCACGGCTGCAGCTGGCTGCCCAGCTCAGTCCCCCAGGACTTACCTCTGTCTGCACCAGGTTGACCCTCTGGGCCCGGAGCTCACGCACACAGTTGAATATGTCCACTACCCCTTCGTTCTCGGCCATGTCGAGCATGGTGTCGATGGCGATGAAGCAGCCAGTCCTTCCGGCTCCCGCACTGGAAGAGAGGACAGTGTCTGTGTTAGGGATCTCGGGGAGGGACTAGCCCAGGCGACGCTCCCCGCCCCCACAACCACTCAGCCCTGTCCCAAGGACCCTGCAAAGAGGCAGCAGGCTGCGGAGGTCAGACACAACAGTCTGAATCCTAGTGCTGCTGGGAGACTCTGAGCAAGCAAGTGAACTTGGAGCCTCAGCTTTCTCTTCTGTAAAATGGGAGAGCAATGCTTGCACTGGGGGCTCTTTTAGCAGAACCTGCTTACTTTTGTTGTCCTCATTTAGCAAGCATTCACTTAATGCTTACAAAGTACCACACATTGTTCTAAGTGCTTTTACAAACATTACCTATTGACTCCCTTGCGAGGTGGTTGGGAAGTTTCTCACCCCATTTTACAGGTGAGAAAAGCGAGACCCCGGGGTCTAGGAGGGAGCACAAACAGCCACTCATTGGCGTCTTCCTGAAGTCTCCTCCTCCATCTGTGTTAGGGGAAACAAGCATCCTCACCTGGTTTTGAATCTTGGATCCACCATGGGTGAACAACCTGCCTGGTGCCCATAAACCTCACACATATAACCTGCCTCCCTACCGGGTTCTCTTGAGGACTTGAGCTGTATTTCAGCCTCACATAACAACTGAGCTTATCATACTTGGGGTCAGACCCATGGAACCCAATCCTGGCTTAACCACTTACTAGCTGTGTGACCTTGGGTAAACGACTTAACCTTTCTGGGTTTCAGTAACCGCAGCCATGAAATGAGGCTGATGATAATAAATAGACCCACCCTGTAGCATTGATAGCACAATACATGTACATTGCACGAAATGATGCTGAAAGAGCCCAGTGCATGTAAATTACCTAGCCCTATGCCTAGTTGCGTCACAATTTCTCAGTAAATTGTAGCTACTTAAATTCAACAAGTATTTACTGAGCACCCAGTATGCACTAGATGCTGGGATTGGGAGTGGGGATATGAAGATAAGCAGACATGGTTTCTGCTCTGAAGAATTAACAGTCTAGGGAGCGGACCAGTATTAGAGGCAGAGAACAGTAGCGTTTTTAAGTGTTTATTAGATGTCAGGACTTCTCCTAGGCGCCGAGTATATGGCAGCCAGCACATTTCATCTTCAGAATGGTCCCAGGAGTGGGGACCACTGTGCCAGGCGTGTTAGGCGGACTGGCTCTGGAGGAAAGACATAGAGCCATCGTGCAAAGAGAGCCTAATAAATCGTCCCCCTTCCTCCCTTACTCCAGAGCAGAGGAAGGGAGACAATTTATCTGGCTGCTCTCTGGGACACAGGACTTGGGGGCTAACGTTCTACTGTCCTTGAACTGTCATGAGTTATAAAGCAGAGGATATATGCAAAATGCTTAGAGAGTCCAGGGCTGATGGCGACTATTACCTCCCAACCCTCAGTGACCTCCTCTGTGAATTGGGGTCTCTAATTCCCACCTGCTCCCGTGGGGAGGGTAAATGGATGCCGAGTGACAAGGGGCTGGCCCTGAGATGCCTGCAGTTTGTGGAGTCCCTCCGTGGCTTCACTCAAGACCTTGACTGACGTGGACACCACCAGGGCAGGCATAAGTCAAGAACACACAGGGTCTGAAAAGCTGGGCTGGGCCCAAGGTCACACTGGAAGAGGGAGGCAGGAGTGTGTGGGCCAGCTAGCCTTCAGGTCTGGTCCAATTCTTAATGCCCTTGACACGACACTTCATCTCCATTTAGGAGGATTGGAAGATGTGCCAGTCATTCCCCATGTGACTTTCTAGGTCAGAGCTGAAAATACCTCTTCTCCATAATAAGGTGAAGCCTGGCGCTGTCCATTTACTCTCGGTTAAGGACCCTGCAGGCCAGCAATTGAGTTTTAAAATAACAGAACTGAAGAGCCGCATACTTCCACGGAGGTGCCCCGCTGCCATGGCAAGCGGCCGAGGGAGAGCGACTGGAGAAAAGCCTGTCAACTCCCAGCGCTGCTGGCTTACACCTGCGTGACCCGAGCAAAGGGCCCACCTTCTCAGCACCTCGATGTTCTCATCTGTAGAATGGGAAGGATGCTAACACCCACCCCTCCAGGCTGCATGAGGAGTGTGCCAAGTGCACACGTAACAGACGCTGTCAGTGTGAGCCCACGTCCCCAGGGGGCTTTACTATTTCAGGGCAAGAGTAATGATACCCACGGGTACTGCTGCTATTACTTTGCTGTTGTTGTCCCACGCAGACCTTGGGACCTGGGCTGAACTTGGGGACAGGCAGGGCAGTCCTGACGGCAAAGAAGAAAGGCCACTGGAAGGGCTGCGTCTCCCTCCCTGAGAGCAGCCCTGCAGAAGCAGCCTTGTTTGGAGCTGGAGGCCGTCGCTTACCTGCAGTGGACCACGATGGGCCCGGCCTCGGGGGGGTTCAGGAACTTGACCTGGCGCACGAAGCCCAGGAGGCCAGTGGCATAGCAGGGGACGCCGTGGTCGGGCCAGCTGGTGAAGTGGAACAGGCGGAGCTCCCGGATCTCGTGGTAGCCTTTCTGAGGAGAGAAAGGGCCTCTGTTCCTCCAGCTGTCACCCCCACATGCCCGCCCAGCACCCACAGGGAGCACGGCTGCCACACGGAGGAACCAGCCTCCCTGCCGTCAGGGAGGACAGGACCCTGCCAGGATGAGCAAGGGCTGCCACACAGGGTGACTCCTGTGATCCGTTGCGTCTGGGAGCCGTGGAAGTAGGTAATGTAGAGGTAGTATGGCTTTGCTGCAGGACTTCTCAGAGCCTTCAGTGGGCTTAGGTACACTCTCCATCCCCAAGGGGGCATTATAACACACCCACAGTGTTTGTCCTTTTGACAAGGGTGTCATAGGACTTCTATTCAGCAGAACAGACTCAGAGAAAGGTTGGTCTTAAACACCAAGTTCAAGTCATTTCCAGTGGAACACAAGGCCTTTCAGTGACTGGGGTCTGCTTCCCTCACTGTCTCCATGGCTTTCAAATTTAAAAAAAAAGTGTCTGACTCCTCTATTAGGTTCTTATTTAGAATTATAAGACAGGAAACAAACAAAAGCAGAGCTTCTCTGACTGATGGGGGCAGTGGGGCCTGGGGCTCCAGTCCTACCACTCCTCACTGACACACTGCAGGCGAAGGGCACTTCTCTGCCCAGTCTGTAGTCAGGTGTCACCTCGGAGCCCATGCTTATGCGGTGCCCCTACCCACTTTCTCCTACCTTGCAATCTCCTGCAGATATGCAGAGAGCACCAAGTAGGAAGAGTGATCATTCTTTCATTTAAGGAAGAGTTTTAGGTTTAAGGGTTATCTGTGCCAAGCCTTGTGCTAGGCACTGTGAAGGCAGAAACAAAAGCCACAGTCCCTGTCCCTGGAGCAGCTCATGGTCTAGCTGGAGAGGCAGAACTCCTAAGTGGATAATCCTATTAAAGTGCTTAAAGAAGCGTCAGGTAACCCCACCTGGGGAAGGAGAAATCAGAGAAGGCTTCCTGGAGGAGGTGATGCATGACCTGAGTCTTGAAATACATTAAGAGTGAAAATAACAGCTAACATTTATTGAGCACACACTGCATGCCTGTTACTCTTCTGAACATTTCAGTGTATTAACTCATTTAATCCTCCTACCAGTCCTTATGTTATCTCTGTTTTACGGATGAGGACATTGAGGCTAAGCCAGGTTAAGGAACACAACCAGGTCACACAACTCGTGACCTGTAACCCAGTCTGGACCCTGGCTGTCGGCCTCCACAGTCTGCACTCCTAGTCACTATGAGACACTGAGGCCTGAGTGTTGCCCCGTGGAAGAGATGGCAGGACTCATAGGCCAAGAGGCAGCCCAGGCCACAGCATGGGGACAGGACTTAGCACGGCACGTGCACAGAATCACAAACAGGGCACCCCCAGGAGGGACTGGGGGAATGCTGGCTGCTAAAAGGCCTCGCATCTCACGCTGGGTCTCGCTGGGGAGCTCTGGGGAGGTTGCCCAGAAAGGGAAGGGCATCATCACCCTTGTATTTTGGGAGGACTGTGTTGGCTGCTATGTGCAGCCTGGAGTTGAGTGCGTATGTTGGGGGGCAGTGCAGAAGGCCCTGATGGTGCCCTTCCAGATCCCCTTTCCTGGGCTAGGGTCCCCATCCCCAGCTCCTGGGTCTTGGCTGCAGACACCCACAGCTCCCCCCTTCTTCAGAGAATTGCTCAGCCGCCAGGAGCAGCTTCCCCTGGGGGTGGGGGTGGGTAGCTGGCATTCAGGGGCTGACGGGACAGCAGGGTGACCAGCTGACTTGGTGAGTCTGCGCAGGACTGAGGGGTTTCCTGGGACATGGGACTTTTGGTGCTAAAGCCAGGATGGCAAACCAGGACATTGCGTGATCCTAATGGAGGAACAGAGGACTCCTTTGCCTCGAGACAGGATCAGCTGTGTGGTGGAGTTCATGACCCAGAGCTCCCATGGGATCCAGCTGGCTTTGGTCTCCAGCTGAGAGCATGCCCTCGCTTGGCTCCTTCTGCTGCCCTGTCCCACCTCCCTCTCTTCCTCCCCTTCTCAGAGCTCCTCCTCCAGCTTCAGCAAGCGCACCCAAAGCCCTGCCTCAGGGTCGGCTTCCCAGAAACCCAAACCGAGATGGGGTGAGACCAGAGGCAGAGAGCCCCATAGGAAGCTGGGGCAGGAGTCCGGGTGGGAGTGAACAAAGGCCCAGATGAAGGACCTCATGGACGAGCTGAAATAGCAGAAGAGGAAACAGCTTCAGGAACACTCAGTTTTTCATTCCATTCTCCAGGTCAGCTCAGCCCCGGGAAGCCCTTGTTTGAGCCCTCACCACCTCCACTGCGGTCATGGATCAGGGGTCCTCCCTCCCTGATGGGACTGTGCTCTCTTCGAGGGCGGACACCACTTTCTGCTTATTGTTTCTGGATCCCCAGCTCAGGAACCAATTTTGAGTTAATGACCTGGGCAGTGTTTGCCGAGCGCCTGCCTGCAGTTCTCTAAGGCCTCCCTGCTCAGGTGTGGGGCCCAGGATGGGTCCCCACGTCGCCACTACTCATCTCACTCCCTGGACTAACTGCACACATGCCAGACGGGATGCCCTGCCAGGTCCTCTTCTGTGGCCTCTGTCCCTGGGCCTCAGCTGTAGGAGTGCTGGCTGCTAGTGACTCCCCTTTTCTGGAGAGGTGCCCTCAGCTGACAGGACCCAACTTGGGCTGGAGGTGCCCTCTCAGTGGCTGGTCCACAGTCAGTGAGCTGATCGAGGCAAGGGGGCCAAGTCTGTGGTGCAGGTCCTGCTCTGGTAGCCCCCATGGATCAGGCCTAGGTTAGACTCTGCTGAAGACTCTGTCCTTGCTCAGGTCCCTCCCCTTCTCTCTCCTGTTTCCCTCCCTCTCCTATAAGTTTCTCTTGAGAGTGGTCCCTGGATACACCATATGCACCCAAATCCTTGTCTCAGGCTCTGCTTCTAAGGAACCAACCTAAGGCTGTGTCGATGTACCTGTTGTCATGGAGAAGTGCCCTTCCCTCCTGGCTCTTCACCTGAGTCTGCAGATGCAGGCCTTTAGGAGCACCTGGCTTGGAGAGGGGGCTACCAGGAGCAGTGTGCCCCATATCAACCTCGCAGCTGGGCAACTCTGGACAACTGACACACGTGCTCGGTGCCTAATTTTCTTACCCTGTAAGATGGGAGTAATAATAGTACCTCCCTCAAGAGGTTGTTGGATTGAGTGAGTTCATGTATGCAATGAAAAGCACCTGCTTTAGTAATTGCTCAATAAATGTTAGCTATCATTATAATAGGAATTAAATGATAAATCTAATTTGCAATCTCGTTCCTGCTCATCAAGCCCCTGCCGGCCTCCTTTCAATGCCTAGACCAGCACTTCTCAATCCTGACATCATGGACATTTTGGGCTAGATAATCCTTTGTTGTTGGGGCCTGGGGTGTCCTGTGCATTGCGGGGTGTTCATTAGCATCCCTGGCCTCCATCCACAGATGCCAGCAGCACCCTCCATCCTCAAGTCTGGTAACTAAAAATGTCCCTAGACATCGCCAAACTTTCCCTGTGGGACAAAATCACCACCAGCTGAGAACCACAGGCCTAGAACATGTTGCAATCTTCTTTCCCCGTGACTCTGCGTACTTCTTTCTTTCTGCCTGGCATAGGGTTCCTCCCGCTCTTCCCTCAGCTGGCTCCTTCTCATCCATCACTGTCTGCCTAAATGCCTCTTCCCCTAGGAAGCCTTCTCTGACCACCTCATCTTGCTGTCTGCACTCGTGGCAGGTTTCTTCCACGGCTTTTGTCACCATGTGGCATCAGTCCATTTATTTGTCTGTTGAATTCTGTTTGTCCCTCCCGCTAGAGGGGGTAGGGAATCCTCTGGAGCAGGATCCACATCCAACTTGACTGCTGATCTGTCCCTGGAGCCAGGCACAGGGTGGGCACAGAGCAGACCCTTGCTCAGCGAGTGTGCTGAATGAACGAACAGCTGGCTTGCCCAGGGCACAGGCTGCCTGCAGCCACGGGGAAGCTTACCTTCTGGACGGTGAAGGTGCGTATGACGTACTCCGCCAGGGGCTCTGTCTCAATCAGGCTGACTTTAATGTCCCCGTAGACCTCCGTGTCATCCGGCCAGTACCGCACACACTTCACCTGTGAGGAAGGGCAGAGACAAGGACGGATGAGTGCGTGGCCGAGCGTGAGCAGCCGCCTCGTCCGGCCTTCCTGCTCCGATATACCCGAGGGCGATTTGGGTGGAATTTCGGTCCAAGGGGTTGTCAGCTGGCTGGGGACTGGCCAACTGCACAGGGCCACGCCCACTCCCAAAGGCCCTGGAGCCGTTAGGAATAATGGTAGTACCTTCTTTGGCAGAGCTCCTTAAAATCTCCAAGTCCATTATCATACTAGGTGAGCGAATCAATCAAGGTGAGATAGGCAGCTGGTGTTACCCCATTTACAGATGGAAACAAAGCTCGAGTTTGGAGGTCAGATACCTGGTCCCAGGTCACGGGGCCAGTTTTCTACCTCTGGCTGAGCCCTTTTTCTGCTAGATCAGGTGGGGCAGTGGGGCGGTGTCAGCGGAGCAGAGATGAGGATAAAAGTGGGAAGCAGTGAGGGGGTGGAAGCAGAGGGGTTGGGGAGAGGGCCATTACTATCCAGAGGTGGTGACTGGGGGCTGGAAGGAGAAAGGCTCTCGGTTGGGAGAAGGATGCAAGGAGCGGGACTAAAAGGGAAGAGTCTGCACAACGGCTCTCTGCCCGGGCGGTGGGTGCAGATGCTGGTGACAAGCCAGTCCCACACTGGACTCTAGGTCACATTCCGAGGGAGGAAAAAGAGATCATTGTTTTCCCCTAAAAAGAACAAAAGCATTACCATTCCGGGGGACGCCGTGCGGGCTAGAGTGGCATTTCCCACAGTGTGTTCCGCTGGGTGCTAATAGGTGTTAGGTAAAAAAAAAACAAGAAACAAAAAAAACAAACAAAAAAAAAGGTTTTGTGGTCAAATGAGTTTGGGAAATGCTGGATTAAACAAAGTTAAACAGGCCGCTCTGCTACAAGACTCCTCAGCTCGTTGAACGTGCTAACGCTAATGTGTTTTCGACTCTCCGAGAGGGGCAAAAAGTACACAGCATTTCCCAAACGTATTTAACCATGGAACCCTCTTCTCACTAGGCATCCTGCAGACTAGCATCCCATGGAACCCACTTAGGGAAACGCTGGTATAGCGCAACAGGCTTGGCAGGCAAACGGATGCATTGCTTGGTTCTAACGCTCAGCAGCTGTGAAGCTTCCAAAAAGTGCTGAAATCTCTCGGAGGCTCAACTTCCTATTAATACGGATAGCTAACGCTCACTGACAGCTTACGGTACCTCACACTGCTTGCTAAGTGTTCTACTAATTCCTTACCTGTATTATTTTAATCGCTTATCACTACAACCTTTACAGATATGATTATCACCCCGTTTTATGGATGAGGAATCAGAAGCATTGAGAGGCTAAGAAAATTGTCCAAGGTCACAAAGGGATGGAGCCAGGATGCAAAGCCAGGCCACCCAAATAATTACCATAAACACTGCCTCGTGCAGTTGTTGGAATCAAAATGAAGTAATGCACAGGGAGCGTCAGGCACGGTGTTTGGCTCCTAGCAGGAGTTCCGTCAAGAGACTGCTCCCCTGTTCCCTCCCCAAATCCAAATTAGATTCATGAACTGTCCATCGAGGGACTCTGTCTCCAAGATGGGATATGTTATAGAACGGGCTGGAATTTGCCTCTGAATTCTTAAATCCTAGCCTGGCCTTTTTGTCCACAGTAGCTGCTCCCTGGGCCTGGGTCCTTGGGGAGCAGTTGTGAGTGGAGGGGCCACGACACTAGCATGAGAGTTAAGAGTCAGAGATCGTGGCCAGGCTCTGGCTGGAGGACTAAGGGGTAGACGCTCCAGCCCCTCGGGGTCTGTTTCCTCATCTGTAAAGCTGGGGAGGGCATGAGGTGAGAGTGAGCTCAAGGATAAAGTCTCTCTTGGCCCTAGAACCCTATGAGGCCACGAGATGTCCACAGCCCTTTCCTGGATTATGATGACAGCCCAGGTTCTCTCTTTCCCATGATCTTGGAGGCCAGGACTCTTTATTTTAATGGGTTATCTGGTTCTTTGCCAAAACAAAAACTTACCTGCCCACTCTTCGGTTAGTTCCTATGGTAAGTAGAGAAGCCCTCTTCCTTCTAGTGTTGTGCACCCTGCCTTTCAACCCAGCAGCCCACCCACCCACATGCCACAGTTTACCAAGTGAGCAAAAGCAAGCTGGGCATAGCAGTCCCATTTCCAAGCCCTAGGAGTAGCTAAGGACGACGTAGGAGAGAGTTGAGATAGAGCAGAGCAGGAGACCAAGGCCTGAACCCTGAGGAATATCAAGGTTTAGAGGTAAGGGAGCAAAGGGTCAGATGCTCTGAGAGGCTGAGTTCGATGAGAAGAAAGAAGTGGCGGTTGGATTCGTCAGCATGAAGGATGCTGGTGATACTGACTGTCTCACTATGGGTGGGATGGAGAGGGGAGAAGAGAACTGGAGTGCAGAAACAGAGCCTGTGTGTGAGTCTTTAGAGTCTGGCAGAAAAGTAAGGACAAGAGAGTCCTTTTTGTTTGCCTGTTTTGTATTTTCAGGGGGAAGGTACTCAGGATGTTCCGTATGTTCAGGGGAATAATCTAGCAATGAGAAAAAGAGTTTCGAGTGAGAGGGGAAATGAGACAATTCTTGCATAGAATCTGTGATACAAGGCACTGGGATTGCCTTTGAAAGGGCAAGAGTCACTTCTTCCATAGAAACAGCAGATAGTCTACCATTTGGGTCAACAAAAAACGGCCATGTTTTATGGTTCACCCTGATAATAGAGGGGAAGAATGAGAAGATGGTTGTAGATGCAAGTAGGATTGTGGCTTTGTGGTGTGAAGATGAACGTTCATGTCTGATGGCTTTCATTTCCCCAAAGGGTATGAGATGACGTCATCAATGGAGCGAGGGTGGAGAAAGGGATGACTCGGGGGAAAAGGCCGTATTCCCCGAATGGGAAGCAGTGGTGAGGATTTCTCCCACGCAGGTTGTTGTGAGGGTGAAGTGTTGAGTGGGGGCACATGCCATAAGGCACAGAACAGAGAGATGCTCAGGAGGGCAGGGCCAGCAACCTCTGTCCAGGTAATTGCGGGAGGGGCTTACCCTGCCCACTTCCACGAGGTTCGTGACCATGACGATGCTGGCCGAGTTCTCCTGCCAGATCATTCTCCAAAAGTCCTTGACAGTCTCCTGCATCGGACCTGCCGACAGAGAAGGTGACAGGGTCAAAGACCACAAGTGCAAGAAGGCAGCCAAGAGGCCATCCCTCCTGGTTGGTAGGTCCAGGCTCAGAACAGGTGAGCGAGAGTGAGGCCAGATGATTCTCGCTGGGACACCTGAGTCACTGAGACCAGGGCCAGAGTATGGAAAAGCAAAGCGGCATTCCAAACTAGCATGGTCTACAGCATCCATGGAAATGTCCACACCCTTTCCTCTTCCCTCTGCTGTCCTCCTGCTCAGAGGCTGTCCCCCAGCCGCACTTGCCCCCCATCCATCACCTTATTGGGACTATATTATGGGTTAATAAAATAGCTTAAGGGAGTTTTCATAAAAATTGGGCTCCAGAACCTCAGTGAGAGACAGGGAGGAAATTGGGGTTGCAGGGGGCGGGGAGGAGGACAGAGAGCTGCCAGGAGCCGGATGCTCACAGTGCAAACAGTAGAGGCCTGATTTTGAGCTTGACAAACACAAGGAGCATTCCTCTGGAGCCCAAACAGGAGGGAGGGGAAAGAAATGGACAAGGAAAGCGAGATAGGATCTGAGAGTCCAAAGCAATTTCCCTGGAAATTTCTTTCAATGTCCTGGGCCTTCATTGCTTTTACAATTACAAAATACATGTATTTGATATAAAAATCTGAATAGCATTTTTCTGTATATGTATATATATATATGTATTTATACATATGCATTTGCTGTAATAAGCAAATTATTATATGCATTTTATATGCATCATTATTATGTGCACTTTTGCATGCTCTTAAAGATTCTTACCAAGCATGGTACGTGTTCACTGCATAATTTTTCTATAATATAGAAGTATCACATTTTATTTAAGCAATCTACCAACTGTTGGGCACTTAAGATTTTTCACTTTTTTCCTATTAGAGATAACACTGTGACGAGTATCTTTGTATATGTCACTGTCCACATATGTAATTATCCACAGGATTTGCTCCCCAAAGGGTTCGGGAGGTAGGATCATTTTTAAGCCTCTGATAATGGACTGCCAAGTTGTTTTCCAGAATGGCGGAGTACTTCTCTCTTCTAGGCACACACTCATCAAGGAGATAAGGCACCTAGTTTTGGATGGTGGATCCTGAGGGCACGTGCCTGAGGCTGAGGCTTTGGGTCTGCCCTGCCTGTGCCATTTCCTAGCGATACCTCCTTCATCTCTCACTCACGTCCCTCCCCCCGAGAGCTGAATTCATCACCTCCTTCCTTCCCAAACAAATGGACGCTCCCAGGGACCTATGTTTGTGGGACTTTTTTTTGCTGGCAGAAGCCCATTCCTCTCTTCCAGTGAAGGGTGAGGCCCCCTTCGAGGAAAAGGGGAGCACTTACCCTGAGTTGCAATGTAGTGCCGAGGTCGATGGTATCCCTGGATGACAGGAGAGAAGCAGAGTGAAGGGCCTCCAGTCAAAGCTCGCAAACACCATAATATTAATAGTTATCCTTTCCAAGACATGCTTTCCTCACAGGCAAAATGAGAACAGCATTAGACACTTCCCAGAGAAGTGGCAAAGATGAAATAAGTAACGTATGGCAAGCCCTTATTAAATCACTAAACGTTAGCTATTAGAGTAGTAACTTGGAAGGGGCCCATACGGGCTTGCCTCAGAAGCAAAACTGGGTGGCTGTTACTTACGCCCATGTACCCAGAAAGAGGTGGAGAAGGAATTGTGGCGTTTCTGTGGGACATAAACCACCAAAAAGTCCTTCCTGGGTCCTAACTGTGCAGAACACTGTGAGTCTCTGTAGGGCACCTGATGGAAGACAACCATTGCATCGCTGGCCCCTTGCATTAGTAACAATTAGAAAAAACTGGGGAAGAATGCCACAGGGCCTCTCTGTGCCACACGGCAGGGCTTGGAATTAAAAGTCCCACTCACCAGGGAGGACCCCGTGCAGCTGTGACTTCGAGGCTGATAAAGCCACTTTCTGATTCAGAGGCCAGTTTCTGATATCCCTGTATATTTCAGTGTCCCAGGAGGCCCTGCCGCATCTGGTGTGGGGTTACTCTGTGCTCCATAACCCTCATCATTGGGGAAGAGGTTGAAGAGAGCCTTCTCTTTTGCCTGGGTATGGCAATACTTGGAGGATCCCCTTTCTAGTTCCAGAGAGGAATTCTATCATACTGGGTAGAGTTCAAGTTTTGGATAAAGATTTGCATTTAGTACATACCACTGGACATAGTATTTATGGAATGAATACATGAGTGAGCAAACGAATGGATGGACAGATACTTTTTCAAACTACAGATGCCAGTTACAGAGCCTGCTGGAGGAGAGGTCACTGACAGCCCTGAAATCCACTTTGCTTTAGGGTTATCCATCTCAGGAGAAAACAAACCCAAACCGTTGATGAATCCCTAGTTTTGTCTCCAATGTTGGTGATCCATCTTTCTATCCTGTTGGCGGGGAGGGGATGAGCTGCCTCCAGGCCCTCTCACTCAGGAAATGAGCCAGAATTACCATCTGTATGGTTTATGGTGAAACAGACGTGGCCTCTCTCCAGTTCTGGATCCACTTTCTGATTCAAAGACTCGTTTTTGAGCCCCCAGTGTATTTCTCCACCTCAGTCTTCCCCTTGCTCCATAAATACCTAGTACGTACCTTCCCATTGCTGGGCATACTCTAGAGGTGCCAGAGTTCACTGTCAGCACCAAGCCAGGGCCGGCGGCGTGGTCAGAACTGCTGGATTAACCACAGTCCCTAGGAATCAACAGCCCCACCTAAATAAACTGTTTGCTAACTTCTTAGTGAAATTATCAGTTTCTTGAGGACAAATATTGCCTCCTCTAAGTTTAAAAAAAAATTTCTATAGACTCTCGCACAGTGTGAGACTCAGAACAAATGTCCAATGAACAAGTGGCTGGGAGCACAGCTAAATAAGGTACGGCTGGAGGAGGTCATGTGCACACACTCTGGACCCGATGGCCTGGGTTTGAATCCTGGCTCTGACCCTTGGGAGCTGTGTGTTCTGGAGCTAACACTTAACCTCCTCGTGCCTCCATTGCTTTTTTGCTGTCAAATGAGGGTACTTAGATTTACAATATAGTGTTTCTATTAAGATTATATGGCAGTTACTATGCGCCAGGCACTGTAGTCTAAGATTTAACATACATGACTTTATCTTATTAGTATTTTATTGGTCATCTGGCAAACATCTATTGGGTGCCTCCCGTGACCGCTTGGGAGATGGTGAGATCAGAAGCCCTTCCCGCCTCACCGCTCTGCCTCTAATGCAAAACAGAGCCCCCCTCTGACACATGAGAAGTAGGAAGGGAGGTGAGAGGGACAAGGAGCTCTCTGTTCTTTCAAGTCAAGATGGACAGGGTTTCCCAGGCTTGCAGGAAGAATTAGACACTGGGAATTTTCTTGAGTAGGTTTGGGAACAGAATATAGTCCCCTAGAGTGTGGAAGGATGTGGTTTCTCAAGCCCACCCTCTTCCATCAGCCGCATCGTCACTCCTAGTTACAGTCCTTGTCCTTCCTGACCCAGGCCACAGCACTGGCCGCTTGCTGGCCTCCCTGCCTTCAGTCCGGTCCCATCTCCCATCTGCTTCTGACCGGAGTGAACTCTGCAGTGCACATCGGATTACGTTATTTCCCCACCCAACAGCCTGCAGTGGCTCCCCGCGGTGTGTGCAGTCATGTCCGGATGTTCTAGCTCAGGACTAATCACCCGTCTCTAGCCTCCGTGCCAGGTGTCCCTCTCCATGCCCTCCCACGGGCCCTATGTCCCAGCTTTCCGGCACCACACCTCCAATGAGACCTCCCTCCTCCTGAGCAGTCCTGCAGGCTTCTGCATGTGCCCAACAACACATGTAGCACATGAGCTGCAATACGGTTTTCGTACTTGTCTCCCCATGGGCCGTGGAGCCCGCACTCAGAGCTGGGGGCAGCTTTCAGCAAAGGCCGGTGGGTGGCATATATGCATAAACGGGTCTCCGAGGTGAGGCTGGGGCACCCTTAATGGAGTTCCCGTTTCCTCCCCTCTGGCAGCATGCCCTGTTCCTACCACTCTTGCCCTGGCTCACAGGCCATCTTGCTCTTCTTCAGACACAGGAGTCACGTTTCCATCCAGAGGCCTTCGCACAGGCCATTCCCTGCGCAGGGTGCATCTGCCCCCACCGAGCTCGGCAGTTTGCTCTCTCACTCCAGCCCGGCTTCCGCTTGGTTGTCAGTCACCTCACAGAGAGCCTCCCCTGACCATCCTGTCGGTCCCTCTCTCATTTCTCCGGTTTACTTTTCTTCAGGGCACTTATCACTCAATGGCAGAATGTTCCTTGTTTATGGACATGCTCACTGTCTGTCTCCGCAGTGGAATGAGAGGGCCGACAGGGCAGGGCTGTATCTGGCTTGCTCATGGCTATGTCCCCAGCACCGACAAGTCGGCCTGGGCCATCAGCCTTGATAAACGCGTATCGAATGCATGCATGCATGCATACTGTGGGCCTGTCTGTGCACTGCATGGGAGTCAAGAGGCCCTCTCTGGTCTCCAAGACCCCATCGAGTCCCCAAAGAGAAAACGTTCTAACCACGAGATTCCTCAGCAAAGGAGATAAAAGGAAATGTATTGCTCGACTGGGGCTTTACTGGGGATTTGCCAAGGACTGGTTCAGAAAACTTCCTAACCTTAGAAGAACTTTGAGTTCATTTAAGTCCCACCTACACAGCACACAGATCGACTGCAAACCAGCACCGGGCCTGCCTCCATCCGTCTGTGAGCAATGGGAAAGAGGCTTGCATCCAAAACACATTTATCTCACTCTGAACTTACGCATCTGTTACTTACTGGGGACCCAGATACGATATTTATTTCCAGACCGGTAATTTATAACAGGTTCAAGTGGCCAATACATTCTTGGGTGTGCAAACAAACCTGCCAGTGGGATGGTTCAGATGGTAGCAGAACCATGGCCTCTGGAGACACAGACAGGGCTGGCCCCATCCAGCTCATTATCCAAATGGAGTTGTTTTAATGGATCGTCAAGAACCAATTGTGGATAAATGATTCCAGCGTGGGCAGTTAGCTCTTCTGAGAGCAAATGTCCAGGAGGATTTCAGCGGGGGTGGAGAGCAGGGCAAAAGAGTGAGGACCTAGAAAACTATGTAGTGTGTGTCTTGCCAGGAATCCCCAAAAGGACTACAGGAATTTTAAGTTTGCTAGAGCACACAGTAGGCTCAGAAATCATGGGATTCCTCATTCCCCGTTATGCCCCATATTGATAACAGGGTGCTAGGAGGTGCTTGGTGTCTTCTCCACTGCCCCCCCCCATGTTCCCGTTTTTCCCTTCTAGACTCTGCTCTGTGCTGTGGGATGGATGCTGACCTGTATGGACTACATCATGGGGTTCCATGGCTTCTGGTTTCCAGTTGGGTTCAGCCAATGGGGGAGCAGAAGCAGGCCATGGGGAGGCTGGGGTGTATGTCTTCTAGATCTGCCCTCATCAGGCCACTGAGGTTGGCACTGACTGTCAGAGGCTTCTGTTTCTAACTCAGGGATACTGCACCCCACCCCCTTGGTTTCCCTTAACTTTGTTCCTACCTTGCTAACCCCCTCCCTTGCCCCTCCGTTACTCCCTTTGAGTGAGCCTGTTTCCTAATGGGAGACTGACAGATATGTTGGTTATCATATTCTGCCGGGGTAGCATTATTATCGCACTTTACAGATAGCAGAACAAGTAAATAAGATCCTAAGGCTAGTAAGCAGAAAGGCCTAGACTCAACAGGCCCAACAACGGCTGAATTCATGACTCTGGTCTCGTGAACTTTTGACTCTAACCACTGAGATCCAGCAGAGACCAATGTCACATATGAAGACAGCATCTTGTAGAGGCTGTTTGGCCTATTTGCACAATCTACTTCTCCAAGAGGGAGAAGGTGGTGGGGTGTCCTTAGTGCACAGAGAACAGGATTCCAGCCATGTAACCTTGAGCAAGGATCTTAACCTCGACCCCTGGTTTCTTATCCTTAGAAGCTTACAGAATGCACCGTAACGATAGAACCTGGCAGGGATGGGAGGTGTTTTCGGCGTTGATGTCACGGAGATTCACCTGCATTTGAAGCAATTTCATTTGTTGCCTGTAATATACCAAAGTGCCTCTTGGCTCTGACTATAGTCAGATGCTTATGCAACTTTGTTTATCTAGGGAAGCATCTCTCTAGGAAAGTTAACTTTTGTCGGAGGGTTACCACTCAGATGACAAAAGCTATATATGGCACCTTGGGCCGGCAGACCCCATGTGGGCCTTTGGGGTTGCCACAAGTACTCGGCTGTAGACAAGGTCAAGGGGAAACTGGAAGGAACTAGTTCAGTCTGGTTAACTGCATGCTGAGTCCCCACTATGTGCTGGATGCAAGGTGCTGTCTGGGAGTAGATGGGGAGGGACAGGAGGAAAGGCCCCAGACTGGGAGCTATTCCGGTCTGGTTCCTAGTTTGGTTTTGCTGCTGACCCGATGCATGGCTGTACTAAAGCTCTGTAATCTCTTTAAACTTTTTTTTTTTGGGAGAGGTTGAGAGAGAGAGAGAGAGAGAGGTGGGGGGAGGGAAAGAAGGAGAGAGAGAGAGACAGACAGAGAGGTGGAGGGAAAGGACAGAGGGAGAGGGAGAGAGAATCCCAAGCAGGCTCCACGCTCAGCACAGAGCCTGACATGGGGCTCCATCTCACAACCCTGATCAGGATCATGACCCGAGCTGAAATCAAGAGATGGATGCTTAACTGATGGAGCCAGCCAGGCGCCCCAAGCTTTGCAATCTCTTTCAACCTCAGCTTCTCTTTCTGAAAAATGGGGATGATTCCCTAACTTGGGGGGTTATTGAGGGGTCTCCATAAACTGACTCCTTTACAAACACCCACCACAGGGCCCAGACATGACTCATTTAGATCCACTGGCTGTTGTCATTGCTTTACTGTTATTATTTAAGCCAGCAGAACACGGTGGGGAAGCCACCCCTGATTCAGACTTCTGCTCCCTCCTCCTCTACATCCTAGCAGTGTGATCCTGGACAAGTTACATAACTAATCAAGAGCCTCAGCTAACTCATCTGGAAATGGGTAGTAACAGCACTTACTTTGTGAGGTTGCGGTACCTAGTTAAGTAATGTTGATACACAAGAGGTGATCTTAGGTTACTATCAGTCCTTCTTGCCTGTTGGACTCTTACTCATTGGCTGAGGCAGCACTGTTTCACCTCTTCCAGGAAGGCTCCCCTGACTACCCAACCCCATCCCAACCAAAGCTTTGGTTTTCCTTTATGTTCACACAGGCCCTGCTCTGTGAGGGTCTCTTTTCTTACCCAACTCCTTCACCAGACGTGAGTCCCTTTTCGGGTCTGCATTTCCAGCACACACTGGAGGACCCACTCAGTGTTTGAGAAATGAACACCAGATGCACAAGGGAGAGGCTAGAGCTGTGATGGGCGGATACTCAAGAGTGCTTTGTCCAGGCTCGAGACAGGCTGCTCTGAACTGGCCATCTCCTTGTGAACTTTCCTGGGAGGGCCACAGGGACAGAGACTGTGTCTACTTTGACTTCCACTGAAACTCCAGCCCCAGGTCCTGACCACGGGAAGGCCCTTTATAAGCCAGGGTCCCTGGGGGGACTCGAAACCACTCTGGGTGTTTCAGACTCAGGGAATTCAGCATGGGGTGATGACATCGGTGACAGGGGAGCTGAGATGCTAACCAGGGGACAGAGGGGTGACGCAGAGATTGGCACCAGGAGGAGACTGTGACTGCCCCTGCAACTAGCGGACGACCAGAGACAGAGAAGCTGCCAGACCCTGGAGCTGGGGCTGCCGGGCAGAGGCGGGAATTCTGGTGGGTCTGCCTGGTAGAAGCTGGTGCCACAGCTGGGATGCGGCCCCTGCCAGAGCTGCTACCCGAGGAAGTGAGGGAGGAGCCGGACACCAGCTCTCCTTTCGCCCTCCAATCTCCCATCACAGCCCTCCCTGCCGGGATCGGCTTGCCCTCCTTCCTGCCACAACACACACACACTCACGCACACACACTCACAGGTATACTCTATCACACACATACTCAGATAAGCAATGCAAAGCAGAATGGGGAAGGCCGAGAAATAGATCTGAGAGCAAACAGACAAATGACTACCACAAAGCTCAATAAGTTTTTGTAGAATCAATGAATCATCTGGATCAGCCTAGATTAGGGGGAGTTCAAGCCCACACCATTCCACTTCATAGCCTGTCTACAGAAACACTTGGGTGTCAGAGGGACCAAGGTGATCTCTGCCATTCGTCGAGGCCCCCAGGCTCCTAGCTGAGGTCCTGAGAAGCCTGGCTTGCATGGGTTATGAAAGGACGTCCATTTGTCCCTGGTGGCCATGCTCCCCCTTTGCAGACTCTCTCATTTCCATGGTGAAGCAGCCCCTTTCCTAACTGGGCGTCTGAATCCCATATTCTCCTCCCTCGGATCAATCTTACCCTTGGCGATAGATAAATGATCCCGAAGCACCCTTGGCGATAGATAAATGATCCCGAAGCTCAGCTCTGCACTGATCACATCCATGATCAAAAATTTCCAATAGCGTTCTCTTGCCTCCAGAATCAAGCCCAGCTTTCTAAGTTTGTTCGTAAACCACCGATGATCTAGCTCCAATCTTATTTTCCACTATTCCCATGACATGGTCTCTGCTCTCCTCAACCTGAGCTGCTACATACTCTCGGCTTCCAGGTGCTACATTTTGGTTTGTGCTGTTCTAACTAGAGGCCCATCTTCCCCCTCATTAATTTTAAATTCATCCTGTGCTTGGAGCTTTGGTTCATATCACATTCTGCACTCCTGAAGGAAGAAGCGATTCCCCCCCACCCACCTCTGAATCCCTGCAGCATTTTATCTGAACATATGACACTTACCACTTTCCAGTTTGCCCTGGAATTATTGATGTGCATAGCTTATCTTCCTGCTCAGGTTTTAAAGGGTAGAGACCATGGCGCTTTTAGTTTTATGGTTCCAATAGCATCTGGCACACAGCACGCACTTTTAAATTTGTGTTGCATAAATGGCTATACCTTCAAATGAATGAATGGATGGACAAACAGACACACGTACAAATGAATTAATGCGTGAATGAACAAGACGGGCAGCTGTCCTGGGGCCCCACAGAGCAGGCTACTCCAGCCAGCCCCAAAGAGGATGCAGCTTTCGATGGATAATCAACGTGGGTTATGCTAATTACACAAATCAGGGAGGGCCCAGACCCCTCTGGACACGTTCTGGGAGGGCCACCTTGTGGGGGAGGGAGGCTGGAGGACAGCCACAGGTCTCGAGCCTGCTACAACCAACCCCAGAGCCCGGCTGCCCAGCCCTGTGAAGACTCACATCAATGTAGTTGGCGTTGATGTAGTCGGAATGCGGGTCTCCGTCCAGCACCAGCAGCCTCACCCGGGAATGGTCGTCTGCAGAGAGAGAGCAGAAAACAAGGGGGCGGGGGAGTAGAAAGGAGCCTGCGGTGAGGGGCCAGCACTGCCCTCCTGCAGACCTACCATGCATTAGTAGTATGGGCATCGTGCTGCTTCTCACACACTCTCTCATTTGACCCCCGGCGCCACCCCATTATCATCCCCATTTACAGATGAGGCAGCTGAGGCTCAGGGAGATCATTGTGCCTTAAAAAGCAATGTGTGTACTCCTTCTCTTTTTTCCACCTGCCCTTCTAGTTCTAGTTATGACCTACCTGGGTGAGTCACCTTGCTTCTTTAAGTCTTAGTGATTTTGTCATTAAAAGGGCAGTAGAAATACCTTCTTCACACGACAGTGCAAGAGAGATCAAAACACTCAGGAGGCGAGAAGTGTCTGATCTGAACTAACATGCTCTGTTTTCATTATTGCATAAAAACGGCAAATTTACCTATTTTCCACATGTGTGCAAATGCTTTTCTTTTGCCTTTCGGAGAATTGTTGCAAATAGATTGTTGGCCACATATTGTTATCAATACAATCATTCAAGGGAAGCTGGCTCCATCATTATAAAAGAGGTCATCAATAACTGAAAACGTGTTCTGGAGAATACCATTTCAGCACAATCCAGGCATAAACAAGATTTGCAGGGTTTAGTCAATGGCACGTTTACTTCAAATAACATCAAATAAACACCATAAAAAAACCCCAAAAACCCTTGTGCAGAAGAATCAGGCTAATCCTTTACAACGAATTAAAGCGCACTGTGACGCGCTAACAGACGCACACAAATGGAACACCCTGGCTGGGTCTGGTGGGAGCAGGGGCTCAGCTTGCTGTCTGGGTCCCTGTCACCCATCGCTGCATGTTCCTGCCTCCACTGTCTGGTCTAGGACAGGGCTAGGGTTCCTACTAAGGCATATGCAGCCCTTTGCAGTTTACAGGCATATCTATTACTACGAACCGGAAGCCCCCGAGAACAGGGCCATTACCACTCTGTTCCCTGTTTCATCCTCTCCGCCTCCACCTGCAGCAGGCACTCCACAAATCCTTAGTGAGAGCATGAGTGGATCACCTCGTTGGACTCTCACAGCGATCCCAGGAGACAAGCAGCATAGCTCTGTTACAAATGAGGACACCGAGGCTCACATGGACTGACTGGCCACATGGCCTGTGAGTGGTGGAACTTGAAAGAGAGGGTTCTCTGAACTCTGAGCTCAGACACTCCTGCTTCCAAAGAGGGGTCTAAGCAGGATATAGGAAGGCTTCAAGAGTACATGGCAGGGCGATTAATGCCAGAGACTTGGCCATCTGGTGATGGAAGAGCTGAGAAGCCAGAGAGAGGCTGTGCAACTCAGAGACCAGCACTAGCGAGGAGACATTGCCTCCCTGGGGATGGTGGGGCAGATGGAGGAGGCGAGGTTATCAGAGCTGAGGGCTGGGGCCCCTGTGGAAACTGGAGCCTACGAGCCTCCCTGGTTGGAGCTGGAGAAAAAGAGGAGCCTCTCTTGCTGCTAAAGGAGGAGTCTGTGACTGGGACAGAGTGGGAGACATATCCCAGCTTCTTCCTTTCCCCGACTTCCAATCTCCCACCAGGGCATATCCTTGGCCAAAGCCAGCCAGATGCCAGCTGGCAAGAGACTGGGAAATGCAACCCACGGGTTGAACCCACAGGTCAGTAGAAGAGGAGAAAGCAAGGAATGGGTCCGAGATGGACAAACAGGCCCAGAACTGGACAGGACGCTACTTCATATCCATTAAATAATTCAAAAATTAGTCCTTGACCGTGTGCCAGGTGCTATGATAGACACAGAGATATACCAGATGCCACTTTTCTTACTCTTCATGGGCGAGAGTTGCAGGTGGGAGGTCTAACTCATCTCTTTGGGGGTGATGGGGGAGTGGGGTGTGAAGTCAGAAGTCTGAAGTTCACCTTTATGGAGTTCATGGCCGGTACTAGACTTTATAGACATGATCTCACCCAATCATTTATTCCTCAACATAGCTCTGTAGATTACTACAATAATACCATGATGATATAGTATGTTGATTCTTCCCATTTCACAGATGAAGAAACGGGCTCAGAGAGGTTAAGCACGTTCCCAATGTTATGCAGCCTGCACGGGGCAGAACTGGGATTCTATCTCAGGTCCGTCTGAACCCAAAGCCCTGCTCCATCTACACACAGTGCTGTCCCTGGACTTCCAGCATCCAGCAGGCACTGCTCCTAGAGTCTGTGCAAATGGTTGGTCCCAGATTCTGCAGTATTCTAGCCCCAGGAGTGGTACCTCCCAGGTGACCACCATCCTGCTCCAGGAGCAAGGAGTCAGACAAGGTCCAGCGCCTGACTCCAAGCTGAGACTGTTAAGCCCCATTACCAGTGGTTACAAAAACAATAAGCCTTAAAAAAGTAAAAATGCACATTGTGCTTTCACTCATTGGTCTCACTAATGACTTATTGATTTATTTATTATTTTTTTTAATTTTTTTTTAAAGATTTTTTTAAAAAATTTATTTATTAGAGAGAGAGAGAGAGTGAGAGAGAGAGCGCAAGAGGGGGAAGGGTTAGAGGGAGAAGCAGACTCCCCGCCGAGCAGGGAGCCCGATGCGGGACTCGATCCCGGGACTCCGGGATCATGACCTGAGCCGAAGGCAGTCGCTTAACCAACTGAGCCACCCAGGCGCCCATGACTTATTGATTTAAAAATCTCCTTTATTTATTGAGTTATGACTGCCCCTGGGGTCTATAGCACTGGAAACAGAGATTCTGGTTTAAAATGTGGAGAGGGAATTTTCTTTAACATAAAATGAAAGTTAAAACCTGAAAGCAAAAATGATTTAAAAAACCAATAAGAAACAAACTTAAGTTAAATATTCTTTTTTTTTAAAGACTTTATTTATTTGACAGAGAGAGACACAGCGAGAGAGGGAACACAAGCGGGGGAGTGCGAGAGGGAGAAGCAGGCTCCCTGCTGAGCAGGGAGTCCGATGTGGGACTTGATCCCAGGGCCCTGGGATCATGACCTGAGCCGAAGGCAGTCGCTTAACCGACTGAGACACCCAGGCGCCCTAAGTTAAATATTCTTAAAGATGAAAGGGGCCTCTACCCACCAGAGGATGGTGTTTGTTGGTATTTTGTCTTCATCCATTCATGAAGAACCTACTATGTGCAGGCTGGTTGAATGGCCTAAGGAAGTATTGTCAAAATGATACTCATGCTTAAGGAATTTGTCGGTGTTGTGCGGGAGACAGATTGTACACAGAAGTAGAACTCCAAGGCCTAGAAAGTGGAGAAAAGAGGGCTTTGTGAAGCAGTATGTGAATGAGGAATTAAAAGTAGGCTAAGACTTGACCAGTGGACCCTTCCATCAGAGGGTACAAGGAAAGTGAAGACAGTGCTCCTGAAAAAGCAAGCACACTGGGGAGGCTGAAAACCATCTCCTGTCTTATGGACACAGTGTGAGGGGATTAGCAACATGAGAAGAGAAAGAGGAGATAGGCAGGGGTTGGGTTACAGAGGGCTCTCCACCCTGTATTAAGGCACTTAGACGCAAATACCCATGCTGGGCTCTGCAAGGCATCCAAATACGATACCTCTATTTTCTGAGGGTGTGGAAGATTATTTTATTATGTAGTGACCAAGATTCACTCCCAGAAGGCTAACCTGTGGCAAATGGGATACACTGATGATGTGAGGTATGAAGCTGAGGGTCAGATCTGGGTTCAAATCTTAGCCCTATCACTTAGTAAGTCAATTGATCTCTCTTAGCTTGTGTTGCTTAACAAAGTAGAGCCAATACTATATAGCTCATGGAGTGCTGCGGGGGCGGGGATTAAATGAGAAAATGTAGGCATGAAAAGTGCGAGGGCCTTAAGAGAATGAAAAGACAAGCCACAGACTGGGAGAAAATATTTGCAGAATATCAGATAAAGGATTTGTATCCACAATATACAAAGAACTCTTAAATTCAACAACAAGAAAACAACCCTATTAAAAAATGGGCAAAAGGGCGCCTGGGTGGCTCAGTCGGTTAAGCGACTGCCTTCGGCTCAGGTAATGATCCTGGAGTCCCGGGATCGAGTCCCGCATCGGGCTCCCTGCTCAGTGGGGAGTCTGCTTCTCCCTCTGACCCTCCTCCCTCTCATGCTCTCTGTCTCTCATTCTCTCTGTCTCAAATAAATGAATAAAATCTTTAAAAAAAAATGGGCAAAAGATCTGAACAGACACCTCAGCAAAAAAGATACACAGATGGCAAATAAGTATATAAAACTAAGTATATAAAAAATGTTCAACATCATATGTTATTAGGGAATTTCAAATTAAAACAACAACAAGATATCTCTATAACACCTACTAGAATGGCCCAAGTCCAGAACACTGACAACACCAAACGCTGGTGAGGATATGGAGCAACAGGAACTCTCGGTTCATTGCTGGTGGGAATGCAAAATGGTACAGCTGCTTTGGGAGACAGTTTGGCAGTTTCTTTTAAAACTAAACATACTCTTATCATATGATTCCAGCAATTGCTGTCTTTGGTATTTACCCAAATGAGTTGGAAACTTATGTCCACACAAAAACTTGCACACAAATATTTATAGCAGCTTCACTCACAACTGCCAAAACTTAGAAAAAAAAACCCCAAGATGTCCTTCAATACATGAATGGATAGACAAATGTATACCCAGACAGTGGAATATCATCCAGTGATATTTAGAGATGAATGATCAAGCCATGAAAAGACATGGAGGAAACGTACATGCCTATTGCTAAGGGCACAAGCGAGTCTGCAAAGACTTCATACTGTGTGGTTCCAGCTCTATGACACTCTGGTATGGACACAGTAAATAAGCAGGGGCTGCCAGGGACTTGGGGACAGGATGAACAGGTGGGACAGGGGCGTTTTAGGGCCCTGAAACGATTCTGTAGGATACTGTAATGGTGGATACATGTCATTACACATTTTAAAAATCCCACTGAACTGCACAACACAAAGAG